TCGACTCGTTGTCGGCGTTCATTGCAAAGTCCGGGTGCAAGCTCCGGGACGTGCGTGTCACGGCGCGGGGTGTGGCCAGCCCGGACGAGTATCGCAGGGCGTTCCCGTCGATACTGATGTTGTCGTTTACGCGGTATCATGACGGGACGCGGTCGCCCGAGTCGAGCGATGTGAGCGATTCTTCCGGATCCGACGTGGGAGCGCTCTCGGATTTCATTCTCATTGGATCGTAACGGATCCTCGGTATGTTCTTCCACGTCGTGCTTTGTAGCATTCCACTCACGTTTCAGTAGGAGGAAAACCCGACTTCTCCGCAGATTTGCGTTCGATTTAGGTTTAAAAGTAAGAAGGCGTCTTGTACACAATATACTTATCTATCGGGAGATCGGTGTTCTCTCTGGCTGCTTACTGGCCATTCGATTGGGGCCATTAGGATTCGAATAAGGCTGAGTAACTCTCTGTCTGTTACGGTCAACCTGCTTCAGCGGACGACGTCTATTCCAATCCCAAGAGTGATTATCAATGTGAATAGCAATCCACTTGTCGCCGGGAATACTGGCTACCCGCATCTCAGATCCACTCCCGCGCACGATACGCTGCCGATATTCCTGTCGAGAAATCTTCCAGCCGACCAGCTTGACTTCGTTGAGACTTATAATTACTTAAGTAGTTATAAATACTTCTCCGGCGAAGCTCGCCATATCTCCAGATTTGAAAATAATCGTCCCAGGCCAGAACGAGCTTGCAAAGAGAATTCGCACAGACGGGCGCTGTGAGTGAATGCTGGGGAGGACATTTAAGTTGTGGTTTTAGCGCAGGGAAGCAGAGACAGTGGAGCTTGAGAAGACGACCGGGAATACTTTGTAAATTGACTCGGCGAAGTCTGCAGTCAAAACTTCAGAAGTGAGGAAACGACATCGCGGAGAACGGTTGGTTATGTAGCGGTCAAGTCGATTTGAGATGAGATAAGGATAAAGGTCCAGGAAACGACAGGGCGTAGAAACCTTTGTTCTTGATTCGATGTAAGTGCCAGCGGTGGGGGTTGAAGCAGCTACGTGAAACGAATGAGACCGGGACAGCACTCACCCATCGACCGCGACGCTCCCTGACACCAAGTCACCCAGACGAACAAAAAAATGGATGCATCAAGACGCCGGCCCCTGCTGCTGCTGCTGTAACTTTGCCTGCATGACATTAACTAGATACCCCATATTCTCCTTCTTCTTGCCGATGGTCTCCTCGAGCGTGTCGAGATTGCCCTGGATGTAGGTGACTTTGGCGGCGTAGTGTTTGTGCGCTTGGTCTCGGGTCTGTACTGGAGGTAAGAACACGGGTCAAGAAAGGCCAAAAACCGACCTTTTGGACAAAGTACCCCGTCCCGACGTCGACGATAACGTGCTCAAGGTCCGACAGCTTGCCCGGTACGTAGAGTGAGTTTGTTAGCGGGACGAGGATCGTTTTTCCTGGTGCATCCAGGTTAAATCTCATCGACCCAGTACAAAGGACGGTTCACCCTTGTTGGCCGGTTTTATCTCGGCCACATTCTCGATGCACGCCCGGAATTTGGACTGCGCCTGCTTGAGATGCGCAAACGAATTCGTGAGGTGATTTAATTCCTGCAAAACCGCGTTTAGCTCGGTGGCTCCGCCGCAGTTGGCGGTATGGTCACCTCCTCGAGCTGCCTGCGGACGTCCGCGAGCTGGGATACGTTCAGATCGTCGACACTGACTTGCTGCGACATGGAGGTAGGATTCGTGACGGGTAACGCGTGACTCCGTATTGTGCGCCTTGACCTCCTCCACCACCATCCTTATGTCCTCCCTGGATTCCAAGGGACGGTATCCCCAAGATATAGGTGCGTTATGTCGCCCGTTTTATGCACAAATTAACGGCTGACTGGTGGATGCGCAGTTGCAATCTTTCACGCTTCGTTTCACCCTACACAAGGAAATATAATCGACTGGTCCTTGAAGGCGAATGAGGGTGCGTGGAGGGTCTTTTGAACGCTGGAATCCCTTCGTCTTATTCTGGAAAATACAGACCTGAACCTCGATAATCTGGAGTTTAGTGCGCTTCCGAGCGGACTACATTTGGTCGAGGAAGATGTCGTGTGCGTGTTGGCCTTGATCTTCTCATTCAAGCTGCCGTAGCGGACTGTGGGGGCTGGCCCAGCGGATCCTCTCGACGTCGGTCCTTGGGAGTCTAACCAACAGGGTCTGTGCGCGGAGCATGACGTGGAGCGAGACGGCCGCAGCTACGCTTTATTCTTGTCTGGGTACCCCGTCTCTTGCATCAAAACTGACTCTGGCCCAGCTACTTTACGAAGGAAGGCCAGCACGGTGTCTGCGTGTTCAGGCGGCGCAAGACCGTCGACCACGGTCACAGGGGCTTCCGGCTCTCCTCTCTCGGTATCCTGTTGGCCAAATCCGCACGCCCACGACCCTGGAAGCACACCACCGCCCTGAAGGAGCTTACGACGCTGATATACTCTCGCTTCGAGAGCTCCGCCTCCTTGGTGCCCATCGAGAGCGACTGGGACCCTGCGCGGGCGTTTTTTAACGAGCGCAAGGCGACACGCGCCGATCTCGGTGGCGCAGGGGACTGGAACGGGTGGAGCCACGAGCTGCTGGAGCGCGTACGCCCGCTCATTGTACCTATTTCCTGACACTCACTACGTCAATGCAGCTTGAGGACACCGCGATGGAACAGAATCCCACCCTCCATCTCCCCCATCTCCTACGCATCCTCGGGCCCTCCTCTCTGACGCTGTACAAACACGCTGTCGGACGACGCCGCATCCTCATCTATACCCTTCCCCCCGTCGAGGCGGCGTCTATCCTCTGCCAGGTGGCGGCGGACATGTGCTACGAGCAGCAGGTCGAATACACCGGCGGCGAGTCGTCGCAGACTCGCCGCTTACGCCCGACGCACAAGGAGGGGATTGCGGTTTTGGGCATGATTACCCTGAACGACCTCGACCGGCTGCAGAGTGAGGAGATCAGCGGCCGTGGGTGGGTCGCATGTACGTGCAGTTCCTCGCCGTCTCTCATGGTTGCTGATAGGTTATCACAGGCACGACGGACGCCATCTTCCTCGAGAAGCCGTCCTGCTACGACCTCCTCATCGACTTGACGACGTCGACGCCCAACAAGGCCACGCGACCGACGTTTTACTCCTCGCGCCCTGTGCCCCCACCCCCCGCCGGCCAGCGCGCGCGCGGACCGACGCATCGACTTTCCGTCGTGCGCTTCTCGTGGAGCGACATCAAGCTCGTAGGTCCCTTTCTCTGCCCTATACACCTGCGCTCACCTCCATTTCCACAGTGGAACGAGCTCAACCGCATCCTACAGCTCGACGCCTCCTCCGCGCACGACCACCACGCTTGCTGTGCCCCGAACCTGTCGCCCGACTACGCGGCGAAGGGCGGCAAGGGCAGCGCAAACGCAATTACGGCGTGGACGGACGCGTGGCGCGTGTACGAGGACGTGTGCGTCATCTGCGCGGGGCTGTGGATGGGCGGGTGGCGCGGGAACTCGGCAGCGTCGTACTCGACCGCTGGCGGGGCGGCGAACTGGGGCGCGGTGCGGCTGGAGGGTGACGAGGACCTGAGCTTGGGCGCGCTGAGTGCGAGTGCGAGTGCGGAGGGAAGCGCGGGGTTGGGTGTCGGTGCGCAGGGGCATGTGCGGAGCGTGGGGATGGGAATCGAGGGGGGCCCGAAGGTCAGCGCGAGTGCGAGTGGGACGGGGCTGAGTCGGAAGAACACGAGGCGGTCGAGCGGGATGTCGTGGTCGAGCGGGCGCGCCACGGTCACCAGCACCTCTCCCGGCCCCGGCAGCTCAGCAAAGGGCAAGGGGCTCCCGGCTGCGGACGAGCAGGAGGATGAGGACTTGGACGACGGGGAGGAGATGGCGGAGACGGCGCGCGGGCGGAGGGACGGGCAGATCCTCACGACGCTCTCGCTCCTCCAGACGCTCCACGCACACACGGCATTCCAGCTCTCTACACTCGAGCGCTTCCTACCCTCGCCCCAGACCAACGCCGCAAGCCACCAGCCGCTCGATAGTGGCGCGCCCGGGGTAATTGCGCTCTCGTCCAAGGACATGAGCGCGTTTGAGCTGGGGCCGATGAGCGGTATGGACGCGCGGTATCTGGAGTGGATCGCGAGCGAGTATGGGGGTGGGGCGCCGGTGGTGATCAGGCGCGGATGGAAGGATATACTGGGGGCGATATTTGGGTATAGTTAGCGGGTCGACTTACCGATTGGCCCAGGACTCGAGTTTACTGTATTTATCCCTAATGTATCTCGTGCCTAGTTATACCCCCTACATCTTGTAAATACATTCTTGACTCGCAGTAGCAATACTTTGGCGCATTTGATCGCGCATCAATACGAGACCTAATCGGGACGGAAAATTTTCACCTCCAGCAGAGTGTCTGGAAAAGTGGCTTGTCATCGTTCCCCCCACAATTCATGTGGGCAACCCGAGCACCAGCAGTCCATCCCCCAGATTGCGCACCATCCAGCGCCCCACGCTTCGTGCAGCGCCCACAGTCCCGGTTTGATGGCCAACACCGCCGATCACTTCGATGACAAGAGATTGTGGTCGCCTGCGCAGCACATTCCCCTCCCTCGAAAAATCTGGAAATATTGGAGCGGGTGCGGGCACGTCCTACCCATCGTTTAAAAGCATCCCGACGCATGCCCTGCGCTATGCCATCACCGCAATCGGGACTTTCGGGATCTTCCCCCGATCATCGCACCCGGAGACTTGGGCGCCATCCACAACACTTCCCCTTGGCGCAAAAATTCTGAAAATATTGGGGGAGGTGCGGGGACATGTTAGGACCCCTCTGAAAAGGGTGCACACACTACTCGACCTTGTGAATTCAAGAGAATCGCGACCTAGTGCATTTTCATCGGATTTTCATCGTTTGCGTCTCAAAACGATATTCTGGGCATTCCTGGTCCGGTGGGATCATGTAGGGTGTTCACTTTCATGTCCCGCATGGTGTAGCGGTCAACATTGCCGCTTTTCATTCGGCCGTTTCCCGGATGGTGTAACGGTTCTAATAATCAGCGCGGCAGCCCGGGGTTCGATTCCCCGTACGGGAACATCATCTTTTTCTCGTCTTTTTGCGACCCCCTCACCTTCTTTGTACTTCGCACAAGTTACCCCACGTCCATTACCATCCTCACAGGTGTATCCTAGACCTTCGGGAGTGCATTTATCCAACTTGTTGCCGCCCGATCACCCATCGGATCACAAGCTGCCAATTACTCTGTTTGGGTTTGCAATTCTCAACACGGTGCAGGGAATGTGTGGTTGCTGAGGCAGAAGGCTTCGGCTCACACAGAGTATCACCACGAAGGATCCTATTGAGAAGTCCTAATTGCAAGACCGGAACCCTCGAACTCGGACACCATTCCCAAACCATTCCGTGTTGAAAGCATCTACAACTGAAGTCAGATATCACTACTAGTCCTTGAAGACCATGCTGAGAACAGGTGAGCACCTCTGAGCTGTCGCAATGAGTGGCTCACTTACTCTAAATCCACGCCATTGAGCCAGTCCGGCTCCCATTGGGATTCCACGTTGTTGCGACAGGATCGCACGGTGAATTGTATGTCGACTCCATCAAGAAAGTCAACACAGTCTAGGTCGATTAAAAAGACCCGAGGCCGATAGTCGTGACCAGTCGGAGTCGCGGCAAGATCAACCTGAATCAAATTCCGGAAGGGACACTCCGAGAAAGGGCAGAAATTGTGGGTGGAAGGGGTAGGTGGTGTGATGCTACGCGAATTCGAGGGACTTCGTATCGTACTGAAGACGAACCGTCCGCCGGGAGCTGCCTTGAGAGGCGCTAACCGGCGGGTACTGCGCTGAGAGCAGAGTCCTCGTTGGGCTCTGCTCGTTCACTGTCACCCTGTGCTGAAGGGGTCTTGTTACCCTGGACAGGGGGGCCGAGGGTCTCCGACGACCTGGAGAGAGTCTTGCGAGGCTCACGATAGAGACGAGTAGAGACGAAGCGAGTTGAGAGTAAGAGTAGATTGTGTTTGTACGTATTATACATGAAAGCTAACTAGCGGGACCGGTCCGTGTTCCATATTACGTAAGAAAACGGAATATAATGCATATAATAAAATGTAGGCGTCACAGTGCCCCCCACACGGTAAGTGTCCTGCTAGTGTGACGGGCCTGCCACGGGCGGGTCATCATCGTCGTCGCTGTCGTGCCACCTCAGATTTTCCGGCTCCTCCTCGAACCCTTCTTGTCGAAGTCTTTCCCTCCTCTCTTCCTGCGCTTTCGCTTGCACGCCGGCCCTATTTCCTCGCCGCACCTTCTTCTTTTTACGCGGTGGCCCTTCTCGCTCCCCATCGACTCGCGACGAGCTCGATGAATTCTGTGCTGGCGCGGAACTGAGGTTACGCGGCAAGGGCTCGCGTTCCCGCTCTGGCTGACGCGTTGTCGTCTCCGGAGTCGCTGGAGTGATAATCTCACCGAAATTGTTCATTAGAACACGGGGATTCACTAGCGGATGCAAGGAAGGGGTAGACGAAGGAGGCGGCGGCGTGGATAGGCGCAAAGGTAGGGGAACCATGCTCTGCCCTCCGCGATGGAGACTGGAAGATGCGGGCGCGCTCGCATCCGATAGGCGCGGCAGCAGGGATAGCAAGTTCCCTCGCGTCTCCAAGCGCGCTGCCAGTGGTCGATGGGGCAATGGCGCCACAGGTCTAACAGCCGGTACCGCCGGCGCCCAATGCGTTGGTCTGGCGACAGGGGCGTCCGACAAACGAGCCTCTAAGGGTAACCTCATCTGGCGCGGCGCTCGAGGGGGAGGACGAGAAAACGGGGCAGAAGGTGGCGGCACACGCAGCGCCGTCGGTCTCGCGACTGGACGGGGTGGCCGAGCTGTTCGCAAGGACGGGGCTAAAGGTGGCGCGGTGTGCGGTGTCGCTGATCTCGCAACAGGACGTGGCGGCGAAACCACTGCGGTTTGGGCCCCGAGAACTGGGACGGGCGAACGACGTGCCGCGATCGCAGGCGTAGGACATTCCGTTGCCAGCGATAGGGGAACCGTAGTGGATGCGGGACCCGACATTGGCCCTGAACTGCTCGCTACCGAAGGCTCAGTCTCGATCGGCCTTGCGAGTGGGGCGCGGGTCAGCGCGGGCGGAGGGATCCTCGGTGGCGGAGAAGCGGACTGGGGCGGCGATCGTGGCGGAATTGGAGACGTAGGAGAGAGCTGGTGGACGAGACTCGGTTCGCCATGAAGGCGCTCACGAGTAACTTCCTCTGGCTCCAGTGAGGTCGGGTCCGCGGGCGTTGATGTCGAAACATCCTCCATCAAGTCTGGCGTCCAGATGTCGCCCGTGTATACCCTCGCGTCCTCGAAAGCGTATACCGAAGTAAATGACGCTTCCACTCCGTAACTCATGCTCGCAAGTGCACCAAAAGCTCTCTGTCCTTCCGCCACCGTTGCGGACCTCAGCCAAATCCTGCGACGGGCATTGAGTATAACCGTAGGCCTGGCGCGGGCTCCCGAAAGACGGTCTGCGCTAAGGCCTTGGAATATTGTCGCCGTATGGTCTGAGTCGACGCCATCCAACACCACACATTCAGAGGGCCGTTCAGCCTCCGTCGGTCCGCTGACGTCCACGTCCATCCCTTCCAAGTCGTCGTCGTCGTAGTCGTCATCGGCGTACGAAGCCACCGCTTTCCCTTTAGCTTTAGCCACATCCTTACCCTTGGCGACCTCCGTCCAACGGGGCAGTTGGTTTGGGTGCGGAGCGCGTTGCTTCCTCCCGACATCTCCGCGAAGAGGGGCGTCTTTCCGGTACATCCAGTGGGACGCTTTCATGGGTCGGTATTTGTTGCCCTCCAAAACCATAAACTGATATCGCGGAACTGGGGCGCCAAAGATATCAACGTCCACCACTCCAGCCGGAATGACAAAATCGCCGAAGTAGAGACGACGCCGACGTACTCGATCTACCCACTGATTGCGGTAGTTGAGTTCCCCGCGGTTTGAGACTCTGACCCACATCATAACCTCATCGATCTTACGAAGCACGAACCGCTCGTACTTGTCCTTGGTCGCCGTATTCTCAGGAGCGACGTCCGGCGCGACGATCCAGGGCATATGCTCGGCGTCTACCACGCGGTATTCCAGGTCCGGAGCCGCGTACTTACTGAGGGAGGTAGACACGGAGCTAGAAGAAGGGGCGTGCGCTTGAGAAGGGGTAGGAGGAGCGTGCGGCCTGTGGAGGCGCTCGCTCTCCTCGGAGTCCCTATTCGAGCCGCTGCCCCAGTCTCCCTCGTAGCGATCTGAACGCGGCCAAGCTGCGGATCCCCATCCCGAGCTCGACGTAGGTGGTAGCGACGGCGTAGAAAAGAAGGGCCCGGGTCGCGTTCCTGTTGTAGAGGTGGCCGGGTTCGTAGACGGGATGACGCGTAGCGCGAACGAAGCGCGACTCGCTCGAGGGGGTTCAATGGGGCGAGAGAGGAGCGGCCAATCCAGGCGCTCACCCTCCGTTCCCATCCAGACGTCTCGACGGATTCCGGGCTGCTCGAATAGGAAGGCGGACGAAGCCCATCGTCTTTGCATGGGCGGCACGTCCGGTTCAAACGATATCGTCGTTCCGCGCCGGAGCAAGCTATCCAGGAGGAATTGCTCGCTGGCTATTCGTTGGTAGGGATTGTCTTCCGATAGCGTTTGCTCGACGTCCGTGCCTTCGAGGAAGTTGGAAGCGGCCGAATCGGTGAAGAGAGCCGCCGTTTCGGCGTCTAACTCGCAGACGATGAAAACGGGAACCCGCATTACCATGAGCGTAAGGACCGTGAGTTCCGAGCAGCCGTTGACCCAGGCGCCCATGCGGTAGTCTAAAGAGACCGGCATGTCTCGAGCACGCAACGCTCCAACGTCCCTAGGTCCCGGCGTGGATAAGTGAGCGAACCGCTCCTCAAGCCAACCTTCCTTCTCCCTTAATCCGCGCTGTATAGGTACTGCATGATCGACTGCCTCCTCCCAAGATTTGACCTCCGCGAGCCGCTGGATGTCCAATTCGGAGGGGAAGTGAGGGTAGTTGGAGCGAAGAGTGGCACCATAGCGTCGATCGAGCTCTTGTTTCCGTCTCTCGAGCTCGCGAAGAATCGCGCTCAATCGAGAGAGGAAGTCCTCAGCTAGATGGCCTCGACGGCCTTCGTCCACCCACTGTCCGACAAACGGCAGGTATGCCGCAGCGTTCCAGTCCCCCTGCTGCACCGACGATGCGCGACGCATGTACGCCCAATAACGAGTGGCCTCTTGACTGTATTGAGGAACATGCAGGCAGTCATGCTTGCCCGTGTGACCGTCGTATCGCCGTTGTGCAGGGGTAGGCGCGCCGAAGAGTAGCGGGGATGCCGCAGGAAGACCAGGTAGGTAGGCAGGGATCATGGAATTCGGGGACCAGAGTTCGAAGACGCGGCCGTACGCCCGAACGAAACGCGAAGAGAATAGAGGAAATTGGCGGAGTATGAAGGTCATATGGCCTGCGATGGAGGGGATCTCCCTGTAGCCAGCCAGACATTGTAGTCTCCCACGAGCGTAGAATTGCGAGCCCGTCATTTTTCTGTAGAAGAGGGAACTCAAGCTGCTACTTTCGTTGCGCTAAGAGTTCTCGACTTGAATGGTGGAAGGTCAAAGAGCTGATACCCCGAGGTGCAGCTGGACAGCGCCTGCGCAAACTCGAGGCAAGGATGGACGGTAGAGGTCTGCGAGGTGCAGCGGGGCAAGCCTGCGCACACTCGAGATGGAGGATGGAAGTAAAAACAGACGAAGATGGAGATCATTAATAATACATATAGTTTCTCACGCGCAGCCACCCGGGCTGCGCCGCCATCGCGGGTTCACCCGAAGTCGGAATTTCGGCCGACAACTACTTGAGATTGTTCGCGCGTAGGTATTCGCGCTTCAAGGCTGGTGCGTTGCGAAGATCGCGCTCGGATACCCAAGTGTCGTCCGCGGGGTCGTAGCCTTCCCACCGTACTCGGAACATACGATGGTTCCCGTCCTTGCGACGGCGAATCTCATGTCCTAGGATAGCCTCAACGGTGTACTCCTCCGTTGGAG